CGCCTTATCCACCTGGCCATGCCGGGCCCTACTGAAGAAAGTACTGTAATATGAAAATTAAATCCGATCCAATATGGAAATGCTATCAATATTAGATTGTATTCTCTTTTCTCTGCTAATTGATAACCTCATAATCATTGTTCTACTGATGATCATTCTTCAACTGAATCTTTTCAAGAGAGAGATGAACAGAGAAGCAAGTCTGAATTAGCTGTTTCAACAAAATGGCGTTCAGAATAATTTAATCTATTAAAGTTTTAGCTGTATATAAACGGTTACAAAAACACCTTTCTTTTCCAATATACAAACTGTACAAAATCACTGCGAAAAAAATACAGAATTTAGAACTATAATAAAGTTTATGACAAATGATTAGTTGGTTTAGACTAGTAAGACATAATGTCTTGAAGTCGATGTGATCGAAAAGTATATTACTAAATAGTTCAATAACACCAACAGAACTTCTGAAACTTTTAATAAACACACACAAAGTATTTTTAAAAAACGAAAAATTTTAAACGAGCACATAATGTATGTTAGAAGAAACCATAAGTGACAAAATGTTGAATGGTTGAGTCAAGTATTTGAATAATATTACACTAATAGTTTCCTTTTCTATAGTTTCTACCGATACCTTAGGGTTGGACAAGTTCTCTGTTAGAATGAATAAAACATTCGTACGGTTCCACTGGTTTCTGTACCGAGCATCTTTTATAGAAATAGTCACACGGAAAGCCTAAATGGAATGAATTTTCAACTCCTGATTTGTCATAACGGTGTTTTCTGTCCCTGACAGAGTAACATTGTTAGTGTTTCTTCAGTTAGTGATTAATCGCGCATTATATCTAAACAGTGTTATAACCTACATGAAAAACCTAGAAAGCTTGTTGTGATGAGGTCCCTGTTAGGCTGTTCAATGTTATAATCTACCTGGAATATCTGGAAATCTTGTTATGGTGAAGTAACGTTAGTAAACAGTGGCAACGTTCTGACTTTGTTTCTTCCCACTGCCAGCTCATCAGTTGAATTCAGAGGACAGCTCTTCGAATATTACAGTAATTTATCTGGGAGACAAGTTCAAACCTTCCTATTTCCAATAGCGGAGGAAACAATATCCAACCACTCCAGAGAGTTTTAATGCCTGTTAATGACAATATTGCTGAGCCCAACTAGAGACATTCCTGCCAACAAGCTCTTCAGAGTCAGAGAATTGTTCTTTAAGACGGTTTCAATGTCATCTATAAATATGGAAATACAACCTGATCATTATGCATGTTCGTCTATTTTACGAAATATAAACCCGGAAAGCTTAAGGAACACGTTAATTCACATATAAGATGTAACTCCAAGTGTCTTAGTATTAGCAGCTGTCAGACGCAAGTTTTTCTAGCCTCTTGTGCCACAAACGTTTCAAAAATAACCCAACAGCAAGAAAATGTAGCATCAACCACAGTATCACAATTATATGTGTCTGCTGAACCCACATCTGGTACTACTATCCAAGCACTTGGCTTGTTAATTGATTCTAACAATTTGCTTTTTAACTTATTTCAGGAAGAGTTGATTATTGAATAATGGCCAGAATGAAAGATAAACGTCTCAGTGCTAACATGATTCAGAAATAACCAGACAAGGACTTACAGCCTTGAGACAGGTGTTAATATAATTACTTAGCTTTGAAAATAAAACCTTAAACAACTCACCAGAGACATCACCAAAACAGACTTTCCACATTGCCCTTGTAGATATAGTGCATCAAGAATTAGCAACTGGATAATACACTAACAATTTTGCTCAGTTAGCGATAAAATTTCATTTTGTTCAGGCTTTCTGTGTAAATATTTTTAATAGATTAAGATACAAAAAAAAAGTGAAAAATTTAAAATCTTTAAAAACTATACTTCTATATCATTTTATCAATCATCGGAGGTCATGTACCTTGTAATTGTTATACTGCTTCACAAAGCAGTCCGTACGAGCATTAAACTGTGCACGAGACTCTTCTGTCCACCAGTTGTTAGCGTTCCCGTACTCATCTCTCTCACTTCCTGAAACAACAAAGACCACCAGAAACAAGTATTATATCAAGCATACTCTGTGTGATAAAATTTGAAGGAAGTTTATGTCTTTAGAAGTACATCCAAATCAAGAGTTGTTGATAAACAAGCATTTGAGGAGAGAGGAGGGGGATTATGGCTTCAAACTATGACCAGTAAATGAAATGATTAGAATCTCAAGGCTTATGTCAACATATTAATAAAGTACTTATTACTTATTCAATAATAAGTAATAACGAATTTTATTATTTAATTTTGTATTTTCAAGCTCGGAAATATTATATTAAAAACAACACAAATTTTATGAAATAATCGTATTTTACCACTAGATAATAGTGTGGTTAAAAACCAGTTGAGTTTTGATTTCGACTCATAGCAAGTAAAAAAAAACAAATAAACAAAGTCATCGTGAAGCATTAAGACTCAGTATGAATTATTTTGTTGTAGTAATGGCGTAATCTTATATAAAATTATGTTCACAGTGGTATTATAGCTTAGATCTATAATAGAGAAAGAGTTTCTTAAAACACACCAGGACAAAGGATAGGTAAGACTAAGTTACGAGTGAGGTAGTTTCTTAGTTAGTAGTTTGATATCGAGAAGTAAACACTCGTGTTAATGCGATGTCTGTAATACAAAACATTATAGACATACATGTAACAGAGATCTGCCTTACCGCGGACATCAAAGCCATGTGTAATTTCGTGACCAATCACTGCTCCTATTGCTCCGTACGTCATATACCTACAGAAATAATTATTCTATAGGTTGGTTGTTACACTAACTTCAAAAAATTATCTTTTGACATCACGTAATATATGTTGTTAAATATTGAATAAAAAGCTCTGTAGATCATACACATTATTTTACCAAAATATATACTTAAACTATAAAATTTACAAGCACGCAGTGTTAGAAACGGTATAATAAATCATCTAACAGTCGTGACATCAGGTTATTAATGCCGTAACTTATTGATCACAAGCATTTTATTGTAAAATGTTTAAACCATTGTAGGATCAGTGCATAGCGATAGGTGGGGCAGTTGCCCCGGGACCCAGCCCGACCAAAGACTTCTTAAAATTGGTATTTAAAATTTTGAATATTGGAATAGAGGGGAAATATTCTGAAACATGGGAAGATTTAATGGAGGTATGGGCAACAAAACATTTTACTCCAGACATCTGAGACCTAGTACGTCACTGTGTAAGGTACTAATAGCCCTGATATAGATATTATGAGGAGTGTATAGCCTTAATCTAAATAAATGGAAGCAGAATAAGTAATAATGAGATGATGATGATCATCACCTTAAAGGAATGTGAATAGTAATTTAATACAACTTATTTCTTTAAAACAAGAGGTAAACAAGTACCTGTAAAGGAGTATTGATTAAATCTAGAAAATTATTGGGTCTGTTTTAGTCAAGTTTAGTACTACATTAGTGATTGAATCATACTCACCGAGGAAACTTTGGATCAAAAAATGGACGATCTAGCATAGAAACCGATAAAGACTAAAAAAAAAAAAAAGAAAGAAGTCTCATTTAATCATTCTGGATTCTTTATTAGTTTCCCGCACACACGTATGTGTAGGATGATCCATTTATTTGCAACTGCAAAATCGTTTGATCATGTGATATTTCATATTATTGTTAAACTCTGAGTGCAGAGATCTAGGCTACCATTTTTGTTTGTGGGACAGTGGATATGAGCAAGAATATTTGTGTTTTTCAAAGAGGTATGATCGTAGTTGACTATATATGTTTAGCAGAAGCGTCATTCCTTGACCAGCTATTCAAGTACACCTGCCATCTAAACCTACTGACAGTGACAATTAATCTATCGATAGAGATAACTATGAGCGCCTCCCATTGGTGATCAACTGGAAATAAAACGATGGTTGGGCAGGCTTGTAAAATGCAACAGACTGATTCTTTAAATAGTGATTGGGATTCGAAGCTCAACCTTATTTAACTAGGCATATTACAAAAAACTGCTAGATGACAGCCAATGTACATTTACATTCTGTAAAATGATCACCTCATATCCAAGCAGACAATTTAAGCTACAGTGATGCTTAGAACGCTAATTATTAACAATGAATGACTGAAAACTTAGAGAATTTTTCTGATAAGTTGCGTTGTATCCTTTTCTGTATTGACAATAGAGTAAAAATATGTATGTATAACAACTGTAAAATAAAACTTTGTAAGTTAAGTTGATGAATAATGTTATGCAGAAAAATATAAATCTGAAACTTCATTTAGATATTGTGTATTTACAATTATTATAGAATCAGAGTAGAGACTAAAATTACACGTTCATTATAAAGGTTTTAGAGATTCACTAAACCTGTGAAATATTTTTAATGGTAATATTTGAAAAAATAATTTCTGAATATCAAACCATATGTTACATATCTTACCGAAAGAATTTTTGTTCTGGTAATATACCGCATTTGTTGACAAAGGTTTACTGTCCCATCTAAAAGATCAAAAATAAGCATTAATGATATATTTACGCCTTATATACTTTTAGTTGAACCTGATATCCATCAAGATTATACAGTCTATATAAAAAATTTTACAAAAAAAAAATACAATCATCCAATCGTCAATAATTTTGATTTTTATAAATGCCAATACAGTTAAAAATATTACATCATTACAATATATGAATGTAATGTAATTAAACCACAACAATGCCATTGAATTTATAAATATTTAATTAACAATCAATCATTCATTGTATGTACTGAAAATCAATAAAATAAAATGAGATAAAATTGCATCTTACATTTACCACCTAAAAATATAACCGGGCTGCTTACATCATGTTCAGTTTGAGTAACTTATTATTAAATCCTTTCAAGTAAAAAAGGGGAGCCTTGAATTTATTTAATCATAAGTAAACTAAACATGTGCAACTAAGTAGGTGTACATAAGATTACTGGCCACCAGATTCAGTGTAATGTAATGGTCTCCAATATGTGGGTCGAATCACATCAGTTAAACAATGATTGCGGATTCGATTTCATTTATTTATTTCTACTTACTCAGTACGGCTATTTGAGAGTCTTAGCTTCAGAATAATGTTTTCTGACAGAAACCTTGATACGGACCACAAATTCTGCACAATATTGTCGTCCCCAAGGTCTTCCATCTAGAATTACAAAAAACGAATAACTCTATTCAACTTAAAAATAAGTCTATAGTAACACTGGTCAATGTTTAGTAAGGAACCTACTGAACTCAAAAATATAATAACAGCAACTTTTGCAATAGGCAAATTCTGATTTTAATAATTACAACGTTTATACTATCTTTCATATTTAATGAAGTATACTTACTGCGTTGTAAAACTTGTCCAGTTTAGAAATATTCACAGCAATATCTGAGTAAGCCACAAAATCGACCATTTCTTTCGCCTGAAAACAAAATTAATAATATTCATACACGAAATTTTATCAATTTAAATACATATATTTGCCTCGTCTATTTATGACTCTTGAAAACTCCGGTTATAAAGAAGAGAATCCAGGTAAAAATTTCTTTCTAGGAGTGTAGATCATGGCATTGTTTTCAGAGATAACAATCCTATGTTTGCTATGAGCATGAAGTAGCTATACTATTACTACACCTATAGCGAGGTATCCATGAATCTCTCTAACTGAAGGGCCGAGTGCGCTGTTGTTGTTAAAGTACCATACTGTGGATCTACGGGTCATACGTTCGAGTCCCGTTACTGTGAGAAAAAGATCACGTTCCGCAGCTTGAGGCTTTGAGTACGTTATAACGGGGACGGTCAAATTCCACTATTCCGTCAAGTAAGAACAACTCAAGAGTTAACTGTAGATGCTGTTGACTAGCTGCATTTCCTCTAATGTATAAGCTCAAAATTAGGGACGGTTAGTGTATATAGCTCTTGAGTAGCTTTTCATGAATATCGGAAAACTTTTCGTAGCTTTTCGTAGGTGTTAGCCCTTACTAATTAGATTCTACAAATTGCCCCCAGTGTCTCAGCGTTAACATTCGGGAAGGCAGCTAGTCATCACCACCCACCGCCAACTCTTGGGCTACTCTTTTACCAACGAATAGTGGGATTGACCATCACTTTATAACGCCCCACGGCTGAAAGGGCGAGCATGTTTGGTGGAACGGGGATTCGAACTCGCGATCCTCAGATTACGAGTCGAGCACCCTAACCACATGGCCATGCCGGGCCCAGAGCAAAGGTAGCCTATCATGTAGTTTTGTGCTTAACAACACCCAACACTAAACCAAACTATTCTACAAGATGGTGTATCCTTCTTCTCTACTTCGTAAATATTCATTAATTGTTCAAGAGATCAAAACAACAAATATTAAAAAGCGTCTCTGATATTAGAAAAAACAAATATTCTAATATGCTTCATTTCACACAACATTTCATCAATGCAAGAGTTGTGGGTTAGTGTGTCGGCCTGCAGATTAGAACGTCCAGCGTTCAATGGGCGATATGCTACCAAAACATGCTCTATAGTTGCAACTGTAGATAGTAATTATAAATGTGACAGTTAGTCCTGTTATTTGGTTAAACGTAGTCTCATAGTCGGAGGGTGCTGTTACTGGTTGCTCTACCTCTGACTAGCAGTTTTAAATTAGAGAGGTTATGTTTCTTTATTGGCCATTTAACCCAAGTATTGCATAAGGTGCCATTCAAACTGAAAATGCCAACATATCTAATACTGCATTTTTAGTTACTTATGCCAAATCGATCAAAGTTGATTCAGCAAGTTTCAAGCTGATATTAACCCTATATAATTTAATAATCAAAATTACAAAATTCTAAATTATTCCTGTTTTATGTTTACATCCCCCAGTAGCTTAGCAGTAAGTCTCTGAGTATATAACACTAAAAAATGGGTTTTCATACCCGTGGTGGATAAAACATAGATAGCCTATTATGTAGCTTTGTGCTTAACAACAAACAAGAACTTGATGTTAACCCTTTTTAAGTTAATTATCAAAAATTAAATTATCCATGTTTTGATGCTATTATATTAAATATGCTTTTTCATTTTAAGCTTAAGTACTTAAACTAAAATTATAAAACAAAAACTAATCGCTAATCAGTATTTAGAGATGAGCCGAGAAAAAAAATAGTCACCGTATTTAATTTATTACTCTATGATGTTTACAAATAACTGCTAAAGTTGAATTATAGCCTTATTTGAGCACCTAGTTGCCATTACTGAGTAATATTATGCTATTCTTCTACCACACTATTTTTATAGGTAAATAATAAAAAGAAAAACTACTACTTAGCAGTGAGTTCAGTTTATAAGCATATATTATTTCCATGTGTCATTAATAACAGTTTCATTTCTGGTCGCTAGATGGCAGCACGAATCGTTCTGATATAACGACCGTTTGTGACCTTTCATTGCAAAAACATGATATCTGCTAAAACAACTTCATTGAAAATAAATAAAGAAAAAAATATCTAAACTAATATTTAAGGTATCAAAAAGATCAAGTATTTATACAACTGATGGATCTATGTATATGTTATTGATGTTTAAAAATACCAGTCTACTTTTCTTCAAATTTTTAATTGGGCCGAGCTTGGCAGCTGTGTGTGTATGTGTGGTATCATACTTCAAGACTTGGGATCTGTATTATATATTAATCTCTCTATTAATCAAAATAACCCTAGCATGTCGTGGAGTTGATTGTATGCACATGCAGTGAGTTGGGGTGAAGTTGGAAGGCGTGGGTTATGTAAATATCCCCTTAACGTCGTTTCGGCACTCTGGGGTACTTGTACCATCCTGGGGGAACCATTCCAGCTTCACTGGTCCCCAATGTAATCCAAAATTAGAGTAACTGACAGAACTGATATGATATCAACAATATATATTAACATTGAATTATAAAAAATAAAACAAATGTTCACTTGTCAGCCTACATCAATGAAATTGTTTTTAAAAAAGAGGGGAACAAGTAATAAAAAATTTGCAAAAATTATGTATGATGCACAGATAGCAATTCCAAAAAGTATAGAAACAAGGTAGAAATTAATACACAAAAACATACAAAAATCAATACATAAGTAACCAAATCTTTCCAAGAATAACTTTTAGTTACAACTAAATGTTGCATTCCTGCCAGTTGCATGAATTCAGCTTTGAATAAAAGCATTTAATTTGAATAATGCCATACAGTCTTACAGTGGCTAATATCCATAAGCTTGTAAGATTGGGCTCAGTACTTACTGGCTACTTATGTAGTGATTTTTGTATGTTTTTTGTATTCATCCCTACCTTGTTTCTGTATTTTTTGACATTGCAATCAGTACATCATACTTAATTTTTGCATTTTGTTTATTACTTGTAAATGTATTCATGGATTAGCTCTTCAAAATACAAGTCCTCATATTAAAAACGCTCTTTGTATATGAGGTTAGTAAATGGAATTACAGAACCAGAGAGTAACAGTTACGAAATCCAATGATAGGAAAATGTACTGCATGAATGATGCACAGAAAAGCCAATATATTTCAATTATAGATAAAAGCGACAAAAATTTTGAAATGTTCAAGATAACTGCATTTTATTTTTTCGTTATATAAAACTCTTAGTGAGAACTGGGAGTATAATATTCACTGAAACAAAAAAAAGTCTACCAAGCCAATGAATGCTCTTGAAAAAGTCACATTTTTCCCCCATATATTTTCTTATATACTACTTACATGACAAATATATTTTATACATGAGAAATCTTACCTTTCTCTCTGCGATCTCTTTGGTTTTATCATCCATCCACTCTAAGTCACTTAACATAAAGAGAAACTCCCTTTTCAAATTATCGACTATTTCCTGTATCTGAAAAATAGAAATGTGAAAGATGCAAAATGTGTATTGAAATATTTGATCAAATGTTTAGACACTTACGTAGCAGAGTTATATCCTACATCTGAAGCATTGTTATGAAATAAAGTAAAGAACGACACTTTAAAATGTAGCACATAATATGAAATTAAGTTCTAATCATTATGAAAGAAACGAGTTATTTTAAAATCACATTGCAGCAAGCAACAGCTGGAAGAGACAAACGAACAGTGAAAGGTCATGAGTGTTGAGTGTATCTAGTGTTTAAAATGATTTAGTTTAATGTGCCACTTTCCTGCTTGTTTGAAAACTACAATATTAATGTTTGGGCTTTCAGATAATGCACGTTTAATGTAAATTATCTGCAATAGCTCCATTTCACAAATGTTTAAGAAATCGTACGTACAAAATTTTAAAAAAAGCACAGCATTTATATATTTCTTAGTTATGTTTATGTTCAATACTTAATAAGTTGGACACAGAAGACGAGTACACAATAAGATTTCAAACAACAATGGGATCCACACAGAAAAACAAAGAAATCTATTATAGCCAGTAATATTATCACTGAATAAATCCACAAAAAATTTATAGATTAATTAGAACAACATCCAAATTTTAATCAGTACGGCGTTGATTTCGATAAGAATGGTATCTCCTTATTGCTATTAACTACTATTTTATAAAGAGAGTGTATCTGATTCCATTGCCGTAACACGACTTATGTTTGTTTGTAATTAAGCACAAAGCTACACAATAGCTACACAATCGAAAACCGGATTCTAGCGTTTTAATTCCGCAGACATACCGCTGTGCCACTTGGGGGGATGACCGACCATTGTCTCATTTAGAAATCATACGAAATGCTTTTCTTTTAATTCTTTTTTTTTTAATGAAAAGCTTTAATGTTTTAAGCAAAAATTGTTAAATCACCTACACAATGAAATGTAGAACAATAATTCACATATTTTGATTATTCACTAATGAAATTGACATCATCGTTAAGCCTACCTTTGGTTTCATTGAAGGGACGAAGTGCTGGTTGAGGTAGAGATGTGTGGCTGCATAGACAAAACTGTTGGTTGTTAATGTTACACAGAAAAGGTCTTGCTCCAGTTCACTGTTATTAAAGGCCAATAAATATGCATTTCTGAATTGCTTCGGCATTATTACTAATCTCATTAAAATAATCCTCCATCCGATATAGCTGGCGATCTTCCTGAGGATCATTCGGCAAATTAGTACAGGGTACATCACAGAAAAGCATTTTTAACAGCATAAAATTTTTCTGTTTATTCGAGTTCAGTCTAATTAATCTATTTTCAAGCCTGAAGATGTGTTTCTTCGTATGTTTTCTTAATTATAAATAACCGTCTGGGTTCTTTTACAGTAGGTGTCTGCAAATTGTTGGCGATTAATTCGAACAATCCACTTGTTTTAAAATAATATATTCAAAACAAGGCAAATCTATGTACAAAAATTCTTTACACTATAGCCTATAGGATATCATAGTTGTATCTAACACTTTCAATTTTGTAATTATCTTTTCTTCTCCAAAGCTGACACAGGATGATTCAATTACATTAGAATCCAACTGACAAGACGAATTATTTTTCTCTACTCTGTTTCTTACTATACAATCTGCAATAAATTCATTTAAGTTACCCTGTGGTTTACTACAGTTGCATCCAGAACTTTAAATAATTGTCTCCTTTCCATCAAAGTCTACACAGGTGGGTTCAATTACTTTAGAACATCCTTTGACAAAACAAATTATTCTCCTTATCTGTTAAACTGTGAAACACAATTTAAAATATCACCTGTTACGGTTAACTAAAAATCATACAGTCTAACTACACTTAAGAACTTCTTTTGTTGGTTAACACAGTTGTATCCAGAGCTTTAAATAATTGTCTTTTTTTTCGTCAAAAGTCCACACAGACTGGTTCAGTTACTTTAGAACCCAATTGACAAGAACAAATATTTTTTCCTATCTCTGTTAGTATAATACAGCTGTGAAACATGCTATATAAATCACTCATTAAGGCTAATCACTCACACGCCGGATAACTTCACGTTTTCTTTCACTAACTAACTTTTTTCTATCTTAACATAACTTGTGCTTACTTGGTAGACTATATATATATATATATATATATATATATATATATTGCCCAAATGAGACCTAGAACTTTCTACAAACTACGAGACGCTGTGATGTAACAATATTTACTTAAGGCAACGAGAGAAATACAGAAGGTTCGAGTCATGTGACGTCAACTAACAGCAATAGAACTACACACACAACGTACGGCTCTTACCGAGTTATGTAACGACATTAGTCATAACTATCGCCTTTAAATAATTACTTTTAACACTAATTTTATGAAAACTAAATAATCATTAAACATTAGATCATTAAATGAGCTAAATAATAACTCTTACACTAAACAGTCTTGTATATTCAACAGCCATCTCATCTTTTGTTACGTTAGTGGAAATATTAATACCAGTAGTGAAAAGAACATTAAAGTGTAATCTTTAGAAAAAAATGAAAGTCACTTTTTTATCTGGATTAAATAGATGTTATTCAATATTTCCTGCTATAATTGAACCTCTCGGCTGAATTCAGTGGATACTTAGCATATCAATTACCTATGGAAACAATTAGTTTACGTTAGAAAAATTAATATATGGTAAATAGGAGCCTAAAAGAGTGAAACGTGAAACATTTAAACAACAGTACGAAAATAAGGTTCAGGTACAGTATTTCATAACTTGTTCATCATGAATAATGACTACTACAAATTTACATTGAACTATCATGGTGCTTAAATCTCTATTTATTATCCCAGGGCATTATACTTATAGAGATGGTTTAAACATATAGACCTGAGATATATATATACGCGCGCACACACACACACACACACATATATATATATATATACACTGCCCAACTGAGACCTAGAACTTTCTACAAACTACGAGACGCTGTGATGTAACAATACTCACTCTTTCGTCCAATAGTTCTTTACAGTTTCTTCATATTTCAAAAAAATATTGTCTAGTACAAGTAATTTCAAACCTCACAGGATTTGGTATAAAAATAAACAAACATAAACGTTACAGTTATATTGCATGGTTAACTCTCGCATATGTACAGAAATAACCAGAATTTATTGTGCACATACAAACCTTAAATGAAGGGATAATATATACATATCCAGTGTTGTGTACATTATATTAAAACGATTTTTAATATGCAAATCAGGAAGTTACGTAGCAACTACAGCCGATATAAAGTCGTAGTGACATTGTTTGGAGTACGTAGGTAGTGTAATGCCATCAAAAACTGTTCGGAGCCTATTATCAAAATGCACAGTCGTCAGATGGAGCATGATCTGACTTGGTGATATAGACTGTAACGACGTGGTGAGGTTCTAAAATCGTTTTAATAATACACCATTGTGTAATTCACAATAATTAAATAAGAATGATGCATCTAATAAAATTTGTAAAGTTTATAAGAAGTAGCTATGTTATTTACTTAAGCTCTCTGAATTAATTGAAGTTAAAATTGGGAGCCGAGCGAGTTTCAAACTCTTGCACTCATTCAATACATTGAGGTTGAATCCATTAAATCCCGAACTAATATTCAATTTCTTTTTCTTCTGTC